AATGAATGGGTTTTCAAAATGCTTCAGTAAAAATGGGAAGCACACTAATAAATAATGCTGGATGAGAAATACTGAGCCTGGGATAAAAGATGAAGCGTTAATTAAAGGAATTGTTGCCGGTTTTTTACACGGTACAGTCTTCGAATGCACCGATTCTGAGAGGATAAAGAGATGAGAAAGCTTTTGTACGTATGACAGGCTGCATAATTATCTTTTTTTTAAATAGTAGGCAATGATATATCTTTAAAATTCAGTGTATACAGGAATAAATAGTCCTGACAAGGCTTTTATGAGATTAGAGGAAATCACAGCGGAGGTCAGTTGCCTTCGGCGAAATATCTTGTGGTAACATATAAACATGTTATTTTAAAGTTATTTTTCCTGTCAGTATTTTTGGCAAATAAATGCCCCTTGCTCATTATTCCTGACAGTTTGGCAATTACCGAGCTCATTTAAATAAATATGAGGTTTTTATAGGGAATATTCAATGTCTCTGCATACAGTCGGGATACACTTTTGCTTGTACAGTATGTGCAGCTGCATGAACTAAATTCTGACTTTTCTCATTGCACGTCAACAAACGCACCACCGTGGTTCCTTTGATCAGTTTGTCATCTCTCGTCTGTGAACGACCATCTGTGGTTTTCCAACTTGCCGTTCTCTTAATATGCATCCCGTTAATCACACGACATTAGTGTGTAATCCATTTTCAAAACAACAAACACAAGCAGAAATTGAAAATTGTGCGGTTTGTATGGATGAAAGAGCCTTGAAAGAAGTCTCTCTTTACTCTAATGCTGTTATTTTATATATATATATATATATATATATATAATACACACACACACACACACACACACACACACACATATATATATATATATATACATATACATACATATTTAAACTAAATTATAACTGTTTAAAGTATAGTATACATTATAGTTAATTATGCATTATATAGTTTATTTCATCATGTATATTTGTTCAATTTATTTATTTTTAATTGAAGATTTTGTTTTATGAAATTTAAAAACAACACATATAACTTAACATTTATTTATTTCATTATATATAACTATTAAAAACATTTTTAATTGAGTTTGATATTTTTAACTAAACATATATAACTTTAGTTAGTTAATCAGTTAGTTAGTGTACCACTTGAGGACCCCAACTGTAGCAGGTATGCATGTAATATAAAAACAAAAACACTTATTTTTGACATTTTCGGAACGTCTGTGCCTCTATGCTGTTGGTTTCAAAAGAATTTCTTCATAATTAGTCATTAAGCAAGACCCCCTTCTTATACGCTGTTGTGCTGGAGGGCGGCCTTGGTTGAAGCCATCAAAGAGAGACTAAAACAATAGTAAATGCTGCATTAATGAGGTTACATCACCCTCAATATCTTCCAGGTTCCATCTTGACTTCTGCTGCCTAGATACTTTTGAACCTCTCTGGAGATCCGGAGGCCCTGAGAGGAAGCGCGAGAGACACTGAGAGGATATTTTTAAACAATTCTCCTATTTGTTGAATTACATATTCTCTTTTTACCGGGATTATGAAAGTGGAGCAGAGGTCCGCTGGGAAAAGCCTTGGGGGGAAACCTGTGTATACACTTCCTTTCTCCAAAAACCTCTTGAATAAACCCACTCGGGTGATCGTTTACAAGGAAATTAAAAGTTAAGGAGGCAGACGTACTGTAGGCCGAGACGTTCGGGGATCTGGATGGAGATCAATATTGGCGTTTTGGCAGTGGTATATCCGCTCCCCTGTGACACCGCAGAAATCAAGCAATCCACAATCGGTGATTCACAAGAGACAGCTGGCGGCGTGCTAAATTCTCGCATGCTTAAGAGACTTATTTAGGAGGAACTGAGCTGGGAGTTGAATATTAAAATAGCTTTGCTCATCACATTTACACACAGCACCCCAATGAATTGAGTTAAGGGGGTGAGTCTCGGTTTTACAACTTTTATTTGTATTTATGCTGCGTAGAGAGGGAAAACAAGAACGTGGAGGGTTTTAGAAAAACTTGTGTTGTTCATCTGTTTTGTTTGAGTACGTTTATGCCATCTTGGTTTGGTTTTGTTGATACTAGTTTTGAAAAAATGTTTTGAGTACATAATACTGAATAAAACAGTATAAATTGTATTGTAATTAGGGTTGGGTATCGTTTGAATTTTATCGATTCCGGTTCAGATTCTGCTTATCGGTTCCTAATTCCGATTCCAATAAGATAAAAAAAATCCATTAAATACATTTTAAGTAAAATATTTAGATGTAAACATATTTATTCTGTTTTATGTCTATGGTTTTATAAAAAAAATACCACAGAAAAAAAATCAACAAGACTAATATAAATTTCAAACATTAAATTGTTAAAGACAAGTAAACAAATTTATTAGCAATAGCATAAATAAATAAAACTGAACAAATGTCAGGTACAGAAATTGAAATCAAAAGTTTAAAAACACTATAGTTTTTTTTCATAAATAGAACATTGATTAATCCTCAATAAATTTATGAAAGATATTCAGTCAGTTAATGATTTTCTTTTGTTCTTTGATTAACATTAATGATAGGCAGGACACGTTTATTAGACGGCTGTCTCTTTAACACCGAACACACACAGATCTAAAAATACTGTTACACATGCGTTTTCTTTCTCATCTGTTTACGTTCACTTAAGACAAAAAAACGGCTGTGTTTATGATGATATACTGACGTATTTCGTGCATACTGGTCGATAAATGTGAAAGAGAAGTCAGTTCTGGCCCGGAACAACCTTTGTGGAAATGCACGGAACAGTTCGGGAATGGACACAGGTCAGGAACCTGCATCGGGACCACTGTTCTCTGTCCTCGCGCTCCAGATGTGTGCGCTGCACGCAAACAGTGTGCAAGTTATTTCCCTTCCTGCACTTAAATAGTTTAAAATCACATTAAAATGCGAACGCGGGAATCGTTAAGCGGAATCGAAATGCACACGTCTTATCGAATACCTGATTATTGGAAATTTGGAACCGGTTCTAAAATGGAACCGGTTCTCGATACCCAACCATAATTGTAATTGTATTTTATTGTATTATTAATGTGGTTGCTTCTTTTTTCTGTCCTCTTAAAAATAAAGGTTCTTTACTGGCATTGATGGTTCCATGAAGAACCTTTAACATCCATGAAACCTTTCCATTCCACAAAAGGTTCTTTAATGGTTCTTCTATGGCATCGCTGTGAAAACTTCCTTTTGAAACCTTTATTTTTTATAAGGAAGGAAGAAGGTTCTTTAGATTTTTAAAATGTCCTGCACACAAATAAAACAATAACCGATGATCTTAAAAAGTAATGGGTTACTTGAAAAGTAACCGGATTACGTAACTTGCGTTACTTGTAATGCATTACCCCCAACACTGCAGATAATTATTATTTACAATTATTTGTTTTACAAGAAAGTACTATTTCAGTTTTTCTACCTCAAAGTTTTTTTTTTACGTGTAATTGACCATTCGCAAAGACCCCCCCCTTACGCCACACATTCTCATTCACACAAATACATCGCAGAGCAAAGAGGACACTGACAACACGTTGACAGACAAGACAGAACAGGTTACTTTTGCTATGAAACAAAGTCTTAGCTTTCTAATTTTGTCATTTTTAAGAAATTCAAAAAATAAATACCGTTTTGTGGCTCTTTAATGTGTCGTGACAGAGCTGTATCGAGTTATAGATGAAATAAACATGAATGAACATCAGAAATGATCTTGTTTCAACCACGGAAAGACGTTAATATACAACATTTTCAATTTCAAGTCCACCGACGGTAATCTATGCTGCGTTCACGCCATGTCATAATTACCGCAATTCCAAGAAGACATCACATGATGTTCAGCTCGGTGCTGTTCACATTATGTTCACATTACTTTTGTATGAAGACATCTACATTGGCAAAAGTCAATTACACAAATTTTAAAACATAAATATTATGACATAACTGCTTAATTACATTTTACTACTGGAAGCACCGCCATTTTTCTCTGGTTCCGTGTGAGGTGCAGCGGTCATGTGGTACAAGCCGTAGCTCTCAGAAAACTCCCAGTTCACAAGTTATAATTACGAGTTCTACGAGGACGTGAATGCTTTTTTCAAGTTGGTATCTCGTAATTACGTTAATTACGATATAGCGTGAACACACCTCGGACAGAATGGCAGATTCGCTGTTATGATTGGTCAGATCACCTGTCAGTCAAACTCCCAGGGAAGGGTCAATTCAGTGTGTTACTTGCATTATTTGGTATTTGTGAAGTTTACTAGCAATTTCTAAGTGAAAATTCAGTCCTACTCCAACGTTTTTTTGACCATTTTTCTGCTGTCATCATGCAGTCATGTCAAGCATTTTAAAAAAGTAATCTGATTTTTAATCCTCTATAACATTTAATTGTTTATTAAGCACTTGAGACGTGGCAGGAACACAGATCTACCAGCCTAGTATAGAATCTGAAAGTAACTTTGTTACAAATTGAGAGTAGTGTCATTACCAAATTAGTCAGTATTAAAAAACAATCCATTTCTTTTTATATTTATAAATTCATACTTAACTGACCGTGAGCTTAATTGACTGCAAACTTCTTGTGTTAGCAAATGCAAGACATAATTTTATTCCAAAAAGTTACACTACCTTCACACATCATTACCGCCTCACACAATATTAAAGCCCACAACTGTTGCTGCAATAATCTACTGGAAGTTTGATCATAGCGAATGATCAAAACTTTTTTCCAGGACTTGTGATAAATGTTTTAACATATTTGAAAACTAGTTTCTGTGTTGCATCGTAATCTAGCTGTCTGATAATCTTGGCATTGTGTATTACGAATACTGTTGGCTCTTTGATGAACTGCTTTGTTCCTCTTTTTGTGAGTGTCTGCCAAATGCATAAATGTTAACGTAGTTTGAAGAAGTTGAATTTTTCAAGGTTTCATTAAAAGTTCTTCTCTTCTCCAGGCTTGCGGCAGGTAAAGGTGAGATGTCCCGTCAATCACCTCCAATGCCTCGGTACCCACAGGTGTGTTCATTTTAGTACACTCTGCAATGGAGTACGAGACTGTGAGGATGGATATGACGAGGGTGTGCACTGCCGCGGTGAGTTCACAATGGTTTTATATACTGTATACACTATTGTTAAAAGTTAATTCTGCTAGGATGCAGTAAATTGCTCAGAAGTGACAGTAAATACATTTATTACAGTTACTTTTATTTCTATTTCCAATAAATGGTGTTCTTTTGAACTTTCTATACATAAAAAAATCCTAAAAAATAAAATGCATCACGGTTTCAACAAAAATATTAAGCAGCACTACTGTTTTCAGCATTGATAATAACAAGAAATGTTTGTTGAGCAGCAAATCAGCATATTAGAATAATTTCTAAAGGATCATGTGACACTGAAGACTGGAGTAATGGGCTGAAAATTCAGGTTGCATCACAAAAATTTATTATATTTTCAAATATGTAACAATAGAAAAAGTGTCGGTGCCGATAGCCTTGTGGGCATCGCACCGACATACAGCGCCATTGCGCTATGGGCGTCCCGAGTTCGAATCCCGGCTCGTGGACTATTCCCGATCCCGCCCCCTATCTCTCTCCTACTTCGCTTCATGTCATTACACTGTCCTATCTAAATAAAGGCAAAAAAATAGTTATTTTAATAACAATATTACTGCTTTTACTATATCAAATAAATGCAGCTTTGGTGCGCATAAGAGACTTCTTTCAAAAATAAAAAACCCCCCGATTATTATTTATTTTATTATTTTTTTGCACCAAAAACTATTTTTTCATGACCATTTTTCGTCCTCTCTCTGACCATTTTAATTAAATAGGCCATTTTTTCTGTGTCTTTTAAGGCTCTTATGTGAAATTGTCTGAAAACAAGTAAAGTTTGCAGCTTGGTTTCTTCTTCTTTTCATAGTGCAGTGAACTCTTTTTTATCTTAAAAGATAAAAAGATGATCCCTTTAATTGTTCATGTGATGAATCTATTTATTTAGAAAATTATGAAACTAGCTAAAGACATGGCTTGAATAGTTTTGATATGTGTTTTATTTATGTGTAGTTGTGCATCAGACTTGACGTAAACAGTCTCGAATTCAGCTGAAAACATCATAATGGTCCATCGACATCTGTAGCTGCAGGTCAAGACTTTAACCTTTAAAGTGCAATTTCCATCTTAACGCCAAAAAGTGCCCATTATTTCCTCATTTTAAGAGTGTTTGACAGAATTAAACCCACAACAAATCTGCAGTCGTTTGAAGTCAGTTCCATGCAAGATAAGCACAGTCGGCTTAATGTAATAATGGGTTTCTGCTAAAAGGCAATTACTGTTTCTCCACATGATGAAGTGAGGATTGCATTTTGTGACATTGTGGTGAAAGGGAACAAGAAAGGAGGTTTATATAGAAACCGCAGCCTAGTTTACGTCTAAAACGTTGATGTATTGCAGCCAAGCATGTTTAACTGTTGAGACGCATGAGCTACATCGTTCATGTCTAGAGAATGTGTGTATTTAGTTATGGCCATAATAAATGAACATATGGAGGTATTCATCATCCTCACCTTGAGTTGAACCACTCGTAAAGTGTTCGCATGCATACGCCATGCTTTTTAAAGCAACCGAAGACCTTGCTCGGTGGGGAAACTTGCACATTTACATTTTATGTTCCATTTCAATCTTAGTCTTGGTTCAGTTTCAAAGTAAATAAAATTAGGCATCTTGAAGATGGAGGTATGGAAGTACATGCTCCTTTGAGGAGAAAACTCGGGCCGCTTTGTTCCACCGCAGACCGGTTTCGGATTGCTCTCTGCACACCTGTCATAACTGAGCATTCATAATTTACATTATCAGTCCGCAGAGCAGATATCAACTCTCACTCCTGGAGGTATATGAATCTGGGACAGATAGAGTGAAGAAGTGAGAGAGAAACATCTGTATGAGAATGGTCATATGAGCCAGACTCGTGTTTTTTTAATTTTTTTATTTTGGTCAGAAAAGTTAAGACAAACTAGCCTTGTGGGTTAAAGATAGCGTGACACTAGCATTGACCTCATGTAAATTTGGTTATGCTAGCATGTGTGGAAATATTTAAACCACGTGTGTTACAACTAACCCCGCGTTACTTTGTGCCCCGCGCTCCCCTATCACTTTATTTGCGATAGTCTTTAATGAAGATCCAAGAGAAAATTGACAGCTATAACACTTTCACTTAGAAATATCACGTTACAGACGGTTTAATGAATTGTGTCGAATTGTGAAAAATGTCGTTTCATGTTGTATTTTACTGTGTTCAGCCCAATTGAAATGTGGGTTGCTACGTCTTGCAGGTATTTGACATCGACTTAAGTGCCTAACTAACCTTGACGAAGTGTTTTTAGATTCTCTTTTATTTTGTTCTGACGGGGAAAAAAATAAAATAAAAAAATAGCGAGCAGCATTGGGACCACTGCCTTTGGATCACTGTGTGTTATTTTGAAACTCTTTCTTGGCTATTTTTCTTGGTTGTGTGGGGATTTGTTTTGTCATTGAGGAATGGAGCTTGCCTTCAGGTGACCACGGCTATTCACTAGAGACTAAAGAACAGAGAATAAAGAGATTTCGGCTGTGTGTGTGAAGGTGTGTTTCAGTACGGTCGCTTATCTTCACGTTTCCCCACTGTTTTGGTCCTTCTCACACAGATTTTATTTAGATCATTGGGGCCTGATAAGGACTTTATATCTTTTTTTATTATTATTCAGACAGTGTCTGCCAGTGTCAGACTGACTGAGTGTAGATGTGTGAAATGAATAACTTAACAAAGACGGCATAGAGCGGTGCAGAAGATAACAGAATTGAGACAAAACGAGAGTCACACATTTAATTAACTTCCCTGAAAATACACACAGGAAAGAACATGATGCCGTGCACATTTCACGGCGAAGATTTTCTTGATCTGTCACATTTATTCTCGTTTGTCTCACATCAGAAGAGCGTACAGTTTTGTGTACAAAATCACAATGCCTCACACGCTAGTACTCCACTACAATTAAAAAAAGACTAATCATAGATAGCTAAGCATTAACATTCCCATTGAGTATGTGTTCAGAAACATAGCATGTTATCATAACAACCTGTTCTAGCTAATCAATTTTTTTTAACAAGTTAGTGTTATGCTAGATTAGTAGGCGTACCCATAGGAAAAATGTATTGCTCAGTGGTTGCTTTTCCTAAGCTCAGGAGACTTAGATGAGATTCTCATATATCTCTCATTTTAGTATCAACAGCATTTCAGATGTTTCTCCTAAAATTCCTTAGGAGAAATAGAAGTAGACACAAATGAGACATGAGAAATATTTGAGAAAAAAAGAGTCAAACATAGAATATCTCTTTATTGTCTTGCTGCAGTCTCTATCAAGACTCCATTATAGGAATATTTTATTGCTCAGTGGTTGCTCTTTCTAACCTCAGGAGACTTAGT